CCAGATAAGTACCAGAAATTAATAGTAGATATTTTAATATTTAATAAAAATAAATTAACAGTTATCAGCTAAAGCTACTAACCCTTAATTAAATACTAATAAAATATAAAAAATATTTAACTATTTATATATATAATAACTTAACTAACAACTTTTAATATATTAATTACCTATATCTAATTTTTATTATAAAAATAAGACATAGTCTAATACTTAAATTTTTTTATATAAATATTTATTATTTATTATTTATATTTTATATATATTTATTATATTATCCGGCTGTTCTTTCTCCAGGCCTATAACTAGATATATTTTAGCTTAGGTATATTTAGAACAAGACCAGTCTAGATATATTACAACTTTTTTATTAATATTATAATAAGTTATATTTTTAGCTAATATTTTAAATATAAAATCTTAGAAAAAGTACTTTTAAAATAATATATATTTATTTTATATATTCTACTAATTTAAAATATACAGCAGCTTACTACTATACAGATACTTAATTTAAAGTAATAAAAAATACTTTTACCTTTATCTAATTTTAAATAGTTTTAATTCTAGATTATAAGTCTAAATTTAGACAAGCTGCAATTTAGCTTCCGGATAAGTTCCAGTTATAAGCAGAGTTTCTTTTTTATTAAATAATATATTTATAAAGCTGTAGTAGACAAGTTTATATTTATTTAAAAGTATATATATATAAAAATACAACTTTTAATAAGTTAACTAAAAAATTATCTAATAATAAAATAAATTTACTGCTTGCTACTGGAGTTAATATTTTGATTAGATCCACCTTTACCGCCTAAGAGTGGTCTACCGCCTAAGACTGGTTTACCGCCTCAACTGGTTCACCACCTAAGAGTGGTCTACCGCCTGAGACTGGTTTACCGCCTCGACTGGTTCACCGCCTGAGAGTGGTCTACCGCCTGAGACTGGTTTACTGCCTTGACTGGTTCACCACCTGGGACTGGTCTGACTAGTCTACTGCTTAAGATTATATACCGCCTAAAATCTTCCTCACCACCCGAGCTTGGACAACACCTGATATAAATCTATTACCTAATAAAAGACTTCTTTTTAAGACAGTAAAACTAAAATTTACTGCTAGGTTTTATTGGAAATAATACAGCTTTTTTAATATATATTATACTATATTAGCTTTTTCTATACTATACTATAGCTTAACTATAACCTTACATACATCAGCTTATTAATAACAGATAATAATAAAGTAAAAGTTAAATAATATAGAGTACAGCTTTATTAACCAATTAATCCGCCCTTACAGATAATAAATAAGTTTTTTTTAAAAGAGCTTTAATCATCAGTGCATAGTAAGCGCCTACAGAACTTAAAACTAAATAATATAATCTATTTAAAAAATAATTTAATCTAAACAGAAGACTTAATTTTATACAGCAGAGTTTACAAAGTATATTAATCCTTTACTTTTATTTAGTTTCCTAGTCTAATAGTTTTAGTTAAATACTTTCTGGCTATAGCAGCCCAGCTGATTAATTTTTATAAAAGTTTAATACTAGACTTCTAATTTCTATTAGATATAAATAGGCAGTAACTTAGCTTTTTTACAAATTCCAAAACAACTATTTATTATACAGATTAACTTAGTTCCTAGGCTGCTTATATAATTATAATATAAAAGTTATATTTTTAATTTATTATAGCAACTAAAAGCTAAAGAATATTTTAGTTTTTTTTAAATAGGGATTTAATAAGGTAAAATAAAGTACTGGCAGTTGTTGTTATATTAAATCCTAATATTACTAACTTTATATTACTTTTTAGTCTACTTTAATTAAAGTATAAATAATTTAATATAAAGTAGAAAAAGTTAATACAACTCTACTGCTATTATTTATTTTATAAAACTTAATTATCTTTTATAGGTACTTTTTTTATTTAGTCTTTAATTGTAAGGGCCCAAACAGCCCTTCCAACCTTCGCGGATATCTGTAAAGAGAAATATATATAGATAATCTAAGGCGGTGATTATATAACAGCTAAGTAAACCGGCTACAGCCGCCCTTAAAAGCAGCAGCTGCCTTGTAAGTTAAATAAAGCAGTAATAATACTTTAAAATAATATATTAGTATTTTTAGTTTTATAAAAGCTATTTATTTATTATACTATTTTATTTTTTAGCTTTTATAATTTTATTATTTAATATTCTGTAGAATAGCCCAGTAAGTAATAGCCGGCTATAATATATAAAGCTAAACTAAAGATAACTTTTTTAATCTAATTATAAAAAACTATATATTAACTGTAGAGAATAAATTATCTATACTAAAAAAAAAGTACAGATTCTAATTTAAAACCTTTATAAATATTTATACTTATTTAAATAGATTACTAAGTTGTAGAAACAGCTAGAAATTGGTACTATAAAAAAGTATCTATATAAAAATTTAAAAAACTTTAATTCTAGTACTATAAAAACTAAAAAAACTAGTATATATATTAATCTGCCTATAAATAAAAAATAATACAGTATCTATAATTATATTATTTATTATATATTTATTACTAGATAAAAGTTAACTGCAGAGGCTAATAACTAAAATAAAAATTAAAAAATATATATTATAGTAACCTATTTAAATTATATTTTAAATAATCTATAAAAAGGTAAGGCAGCTAAATCCTACTGTAAAAAAAATAAACTAGTTTTTATAAGTTTTTTAAAATACAGCTAAAAAATTCTATAAATAAATAATAAAAAGTCTAGTTAAAAATATTTAAAGCTAAGTCTTATAAAAAAAAACCAGAGTTTACTTATTTATAAAAATAAAAAAAAATAAAAACTAAATTAGATTATAAAATATAAAATATTAATACTGTATAGCTGTATTTATTTTTTATATTTTTTTTTTATAATCTAAAAAAAAATCTATAAGCAGCAGATTTTTTTTATAATTAAATAAGATTTTATTATACTACTTATAAGATTATACCCAGTATTAAGTTGGTAATATAAATAAATAAAAAATAAAATATTTTATAAATAGATTTTAAAAAAAAATTACAGACCTACTGCTTTTATAGATAAAATCTAAAAACTAAAAATCTAAACTAATAGTTTTATAAAAAAAATTTAAAGGCTAAAGTAATTTTTTTTAATACTATAAATATCTACAGAGGCCCCTAGATTAAAAGTTTACTATAATTATAAATAAATAAATTACTAGATAAAAAATTAATAGTTAACTAAACTATTTATAAAATAACTAGTAGATAAAATTATAGTATCTACTTTAAACTAAGTTAAAATTATAATCTACTTTAGTTTAAAACTAAAAAAGTAGCTAATTTTTTATAAAAAAAAATATTTTATAAAAATAAAAATTATTATAAATAGTAGAGCAGAGGTAAATCTAGTATTTATAATATTTATTAAATAAATAAAATAATTAACTGTTTTAGTAAAGATAATTATAAAAAAAATTAAGTAAAAAAATATATAGTTAAAAAAAACTATAGTATTTATAATATATTTAAAAAATATCTAAAAATACTGTAAAAACTAAACAGATTTTATAATTATAATATTAGAAATAGATAAAATAGTTTTAAAAATACTTTAAATAAGACAGTAAAACTGCGATTTGCTGGAGCGCGGCCGTTTTCGGCGCCCGCTTCTCTAGGTTTAGCGCCTGCGTTGCCCGCGCTAGATACGGCATCGCGCCGGCTGTTCGCGGTTTAGCCTGTCCATAACAGGCTTGGTACACTCCGCTAGGCCTGATCAGGAACTGCCTTCTTCTACCGCCCACCGGACAACGTCTGCCATGTATATAAAACCGGGGTGCGTCGCTCAACGGAAATCGTCATCTTGCAACATCATCTCCCTTCCTAATCTCACTTCCCAGGTCTTTCTCGGATCGGCTGACGTGGCCTCTTCCTTCGCCCCCTGCAAGTCGCAAAAATTGTACGCTACAGCTTTAGCACAGCCCGCTTTCTCCAAGCACTTGACCAGAACGGCCAGGATAAGCCCAAGTGTAATGGCAAATGGCACGCAACATCCTTGGCTTTTGTGCTACATTCTCGCTCGACTATCTAGTTTTACCTGCACTGGGTGCGTGAAAGTGCTGTAATCAGATGTCCATCTCATTCCTTGGTGGCTTTGTCACTGTTGATTATTGGATGGAACACCGGCAGTTCTGATCACATTGGGATGCGAAGTGTTCCCCATTCCCTCAAATCTACTTTCTCAGCCACTCTTTAGGAGAGTAAAATGAAAGGCTGTATGAAACTGACACTAGTGCTGTCGTTGTGGGACTCGTGGGACTCAATACGTTAGCTCTGCCCTCTGTCTAATCGCCAAGGCAACACAGTGCTCCTGATCTCGTATCGTTTCACTAACCTAGCCAGAGCGCGACCGAACATATCCGTCAAGCAGCGAAGTCGATCACTCACTAGCCCAGCTTCTAGTTTATGCTGACCAACAGCAAAAATGCCTCAAGCCGCCCTGGGGCTGAACGGAAACATTTACGCTAGGCATGACCGAATGATGTGCATGGCCTGTAAACAACAGGTCGCACCTGCCGTATGACTTTCGGTCCCGAAGGACGCGCTCTTCAAATTGTCTTTTCAGAAATAGGGTCTTTATGCAATCTGGGTAATGGAAGTCTGAAGCCCTCCTATAGGCTTTCAACTTACTATTGGCGGGATTCCCGCTTCTGCGCCTAACACAAGCGAGGGCCGGTTCGACAAGGCACAAACGACGAATGCCTCCAGTAGTACGAAGCCTACCAGGAGCTGCGCGGCCGATCTCGCACCATGGTACTCACATGTCATCTGAGTCTTATAAAGGACTGGCAGAGCTTCCTACTTTTGTCTCTTCCATCTTCTGGATCGCAAGTTACGAATAGGCATGGTTTCAATCGATTCTCTACTGTTTTGCTTCCACCTACCGCTTTTTGAAGTACTAAGATCTACTCTACTATTTTTCTGTCTGTCTTTTGAACAAAATGAGAGTGAATCTTGATCAAATCGAGTTCTACCATGGTCCAAGCCAGCCGTCCTGCAATAATCGGAGGAATTCACCACAAGTCCATATTCCACAAACCTCCCAGCATTTCTCTCCCACTGAGGTAGCTCCAGGACTACCCCAGGCAACTTCAAAACAGGACCTACCATCTAGCGGGACTGCTTATCTATGGAATACATTTGACTTTGAGATTGATCGGCTCTGTGCCGTCACTGAGCATCAAACGACAAAAGGTGCCGAAAAATCTATCGCACCAATCGTTCCAGCCGCGCTTGACATTCAGTCGGATAATAGAGGCTCTCGCTTAGCTTCATCCGAGCCAGTCCTATTCGAAGACACCTCAGCGACACCAGTACCATGCTGCGCAGACCAATTGGATTATGTTTTTCCCGATGTACATGAGAATGAGTTGCCATGTAAGTTGGTATTATACTCGACAACATTATAGATAGACCTCTCTTTTTCTAACATGCTCCAGATTTCGTGCCTTATGGCGAAGCTGCGGAAAAAGCTGAGATCTCACCGGTTCCTTGTGTCACCGCGACTGCATTCAGACAAGAGGGCAATGCTACTAGCAGCCAATCCGAAACCTGTGAATCCCATCAGATATCCGTGGAGGGAAGCTCGCTGATCACACGGGCTCTTTCAGAGTGTACCGGTGCTATAGCTGGTGGAAAGATTACAAACCCGTGCCGATCACCTGATCTAAGTGAAGATTTATGCTCCCATGCAATTGATGCTTCGGAGCGGGCTGGTAGTTCCGGCAGCGCTGGAGCCAAGTCAACTGCATCTGGCCTCTCTTCTCGCTTGAACCGGAGCTCTAGTCTAGAGAATTCTGGTGCTAGGACAATCCAAACTTGCAACAGCCCAGTCCGCTACCCGTCAGTAGCTGTGGTTGTACCCGCGCCTTCATGGAAGCAGCGAAGAGCCACCAGGGCAAGCACAAGGGCCGCTGCGGCAGCATGCAACAAGCGACTTCGCTCAGGCCAAGCCGCCATTAATCAAACTAGCCCAGATAAATTTTTCTCTCGCATTGAGGGCTCGACTCCGAAGATGAAGACCCGGAAGCCTGCATTTAAGCGTGTCTCTCGCCCTCCGGAAATTTCAATTCCCGCTTCATGCAATTGTACCCGGGATATTCATGGGATAAGCGGAAAAGCTCTGCTCACAGTCGTATCAGATGCTGGAGTCAAACCTGCGTATTATTTCACCTTTGTACCTGACACGAGTTCGATGTCGCATCAGGCGCATCCGGGGGATATCTCAGGGAAACAAAGACCATACACATCAGATGAAAATGCGCAGTTGGTTCGGCTGAAAGAAAGAGAAGCAATGTCATGGATTGAGATTGCAGACTATTTTCCTGAACGAACTGTCTCATCCCTACAAGTCCACTATTCGACTAAGTTACGGCATAAGGCAAGATCGAAACCCTGAAGAGGGCGGAGACCTAGATTAGAGGGGGCCTGAATTTGTGAATGGCGCTTAGTTCGTGCAAGACAGGACACTAGAAACACTGTCTGGCAATCTATATCTCGTTTTGGAATTTCCTTACAGTTTCAACCTGACTTTACCCTCCGTATGTGTTGATAACAGATTTCTTCCGGTGCAGAATACATGAAAGGCACGAAAAAAGAATACTCTCAATAGCATAAGGCTCATGTCTATTCTATATCTAATCTTGTATTACCCACTAGGCCGTAAACCCCGCCAGGCCTGTTATACATGCGCTATGTTTAGTACATTGTGACTGAAAAGAATAAGTCTGGTTCATTACAACACAGGAGGAAATTGAAGCGGGCAGGATTCATGTTAGCTACGGACAAATTCGGTCAGATTCTGGATCGTATGGGCCTAATTACATTACCTAGCGCCGAGGGGGGCAAATTTCTGAATAATGTCTGGTATGAATTGTTCGTCGATTAGGAAAATACAATGACAAATGTATCGCAGAGTTCAGAATTGTCCCGCCAGTTGCTATCGGAAATACGTTCTAAGCTTGCGTTTTGTTTATACTTGGTATTGTTGTAGATATTGGCTATCGAGGCTCGGGTCGCATCGTTCCTCTGTCGGTCGGAGTAATATCCAATCCGTTTTTGCGTGAGCTTTGGATAAATGAAGAAGCGTACTCATTCAATTGGTTCTGAGCACTATGGGGAATTGGTGTCGAACGGCCTTGGGGTGAAAGTAGTTTAAAAGAATCTGGATATTGTCCAAGCTGAGATTGGGTCTCAATGGGAAAGACCCACTCTGATGAAGATCTCGTAGTCTGAGGTGGCGGGCGGATCGCACTCTGCTCCTGAGGCTCGTGCGGCGTTTGTGGATTGGCGATGGAGTTTTCGCGACAATATGATGAACAGAACAGAGCCCCACTTGTTTCTTGACCGCAGCGAGAGCATTCTTCGTACAGTGATGGCATAGCTAAGATGGTGCAGTAAACCCTTCTGGAGATTTGGAGGTGTATGAGTTCAACTCCTAAGCCCTTCAGAAGATGATGTAATTAAGGGAGAGGCAATGCTTACTCATAGCATGTGTAAATGATTATTCATCAAATCGCCACTGGAAGTATTGCCGTGAACTTTGGATTTGCGCCGCAACCTACAACGGCAGGATGTTGGTATCGAAATATCTGCCCACTATAACGACGCGTGAGGACGCGTGAAGGCTAGATTCTTGTCCGGAAAGATGTGTAGACAATTCTGCCTCGATTACTTTATGTAGTCAGCTATAGATGCCGCCATTATATCCTTCGGTAGTATCAATTTGCTTGTTATTTCTCTGAAATTGAAGCACCTCAGACAGACCAAAAAATGCATCAACAGGGAGCAACCGAACTATAGTGGGACAATTGTTCATGAATTAAAGATATGAATGTTGGAAAAACTAAGATTTTAAGGTAAAGACCATGCTTGAAACAAGGAATTCAGATCCGATCAGCTTAATGATAATGTTACAACCCTTATGCGGCATTTAACTAGCCATCCGAATAGACTATTTGGGATGGTCATTTTGTAACAGCCATCTGGTTCAAGTGGCTTTTATTTATCTCACAACCTGGACTCACTCTGCGAAGCACTTCCTCATTCGCACGATTATCCACATTGCTTCCTTCGGGTACCGGGGCATGGGGACGAGAAATAGTTTGCCGTGAAGGATGAGCGGTGCCGGTCTGCAAAGTTCCTTCATCAGTTACTCTGTTGGCTTCAGAGAGAGCAAGATCTCCAGAGTCAAAGTATGTTCGTTCCTATGTAGTTGTTAGCTTGTACTCTTTCCGAGCCGGCTTCAAACTTACTCTAGACTTATATCGACGCAAATCCCCCGATATCTGGCTTTTGTACTTGGCCAAGATTCTCTGTTCTCTTTCGGAAAACTGCTAACCGAGAGACAAATAGTGAGCAGTTTCCGTGAAAAAAAAAAGAAAAGAGGGAATATAATCTGTTATTACCTCCTCTTGAGTATATGGACTACTTTTATTGTCCATAATCAGTTTGGGTATTGAATAGCTGTATACCACGATAAAGGATGCTTCATAATAATTGCTCGAAGGAAAAGGAAACAAAATATAGAATTTGCCTCCCTGGGTTCTTGCAACACTTGCTTTTATATCATTTTCATGTTTTCAACGTCACCGCTCGAACCTAAGCTACTTACCTGAACTCTGACGCTCCAGGGCGGAAACTATTTCCGAATTGCAGCACCGGTCGACCATCAACTGTGCCACTCCAAATTGGATTATATTCATGTCGCTCCAGAATGTTTACAGAATCTTACTATCCTTATGAACTGACCAGTAAGCTACGGATTTAATCCGCTCTCGCTCCTTGCATTTGTAGAAAACCACTTTCAAGTCTTTATTTGCTGGAGGATGCAGAAACATTAAAGGTTTCAAATTAAGCTATACTAAGAACTACATTAAATCTTTAATCGGAATTGTTACTTGATCCGTTAGAACAGAGGAGAATGCCGAATCCCGAGCCCGTGTCAAGCTGTCACACTTGGGGGAATAATGTTCGAAGTAGCGCCAGCCAACCTATATGCCAGGGTAGTATCACGTACTTTCCTCAGATTAGCTTCCGGCATAGGATTAGTTACAGCTGATTACAAGATTGGCACACCAATATCCATAAATAGCAGAATCAAGTTGCTGGCCCAAAGGATATTTCAGCAGGAGCAGCTCGCGGTGAAACCCATCATAGCACCGATAAGTCCACAATAACTATATTGATTCCAGTAAGAATTCTATCATCACTTTAGACTGCTGGGTTCAAGAGTCAGCAGGAATGCAGTGTGTTGGCATATCCAAAAGCTGTTGTATGCTAAGGACTCGGTGCGACAGTGTACTTCTGTTGGCTTGTGTTGATATCTGAGGAGAATTGACAGTTTCGGCAGATTCGGACCTCTGTTGTTTGTTTTTAGTACTCAGATAAAGCTGTATATCGCCGAGACTTGGTTTGCTTCGGATAAATTTTAAGAATGGTGTAGTATGGGCGTCCGAAATGTCCTGTAGCATTTGAAATAGCTGGAGTAAAATATCCCGTTCCTCTGTCAACTCTTTAATTCTCTTTTTATAGGCCGATTTCCGCCGCATATCTCTATCCAAGTCGAGCGTACAGGAGAGTTGACGCTCAGTGCAATGTTCGCAGGCAGCAGCCTTGTCCCTAAATATGCACTGTCATCTTTAGTATGCTTTGAGACCGAATAGAGACTGAAGGATTGTTACCTTTGTCTTGTGTCGCTTGCACTCGCCGCATGCTGCCGACGCCTTGCGGACCCGGGCTGCTGAGACCTTGGGCCCGAAGGAAGATGTAGCGATAATGGACGAAGGCGCTGGGGCGATAGACCGCATTTAGAAAGAGCTTGAGAGTATGCGATGAATATCTGTTCATAAGTCCTCTATATTAATCGAATGGTTTCATTTCTGCTACGGTGTAGGAAGTTCGCTGGCGGCACTTATGAATCGTGTTCCTACCAGGGCTTGATACCGCTCGGATATCTTATCCCGTGTAATTTCGGCCAATCAACGTCTATATGCACAATTTTTGTCATATTCTCTTGGTACAGTGGCCCTTGCTTCTGAGTTCGGATAACTTTGACCGCTCCTGGTTCAACCAATTAACAATAAATTGCTTTCCTTGATTCCCAGTCGATCTTGTCGGCATAGTGACGTATCTATGAACAAGATTTGGGAAAGATTGAAACAGAATCAGGTTCGGTAGACTTACCAGTTGTTGTTGGAGCATATTACGAAATCTTCCAAAGGTCCACCTAGTTCATACTTGAGAGTAAAATAAAACGAGGTAAAGCCCAGATGATAATTGTGGGGAAAAAAGGTTTTTCCTTATCACGTGTGTATGATTACTCATCAAACCGCCACTGGAAGTCTAGCCACAGACTCTGGATTCACGCGGCAACCTACCAAGGCAGAATGTTGGCATCGAAAATCTTCCGGCACCAAACGAAAGGTAGGACAGGTCTAAGCTTCTGAAGAACAGATTTGTGCCATACTAATTAACCGTCCTAAGTCCTAGTTCGATGACCTATATAGATTCTTCGACCTCCGGCATTCAGATCACCAACAAGCCACATATGCCCGTTTCAAGACCTCCATCTCAATTAAGACGCGACGTATATTTCTCCGCTCTGCATACGGCTGGTCCAGAGCGTCACATTGCGTGCTGCAGACACAGGGTCTTTCCTGTAGCACAGAAGATAGTTTTGAATCAGTGCAGCAGCGTATTTATTCGACTCAACCTTGTTAGCAAAGGAGTCCGACAAGTGAATGATCTCATCGAGTGACCATTCTGGCGACGCCGACTCTAACGCACAGTTCACATTCAAGGTTTGAGGCTCGACAATGAAGGATTGATTAGAAGGCTTCACAAAAAAGGTCAGGAATTGTTCTTTGATATCCCTCTCAGTTGCTAATCCAAAGGAAAAGATTCGGTCCACACGGCCAGGGCGCCGAAGAGCTTTATCAATACTGTCTGGATCGTTCGTGGTCATGATCAAAATGCGACCCTCTTGAGCAGATACGCCATCGATGATATTCAGAATATCGGAGAGGGTCACACCACCATAAAAGCGCTTAGAGGTTTCAGGAGTATCAATGTTCTCTCCACAGTCCGGACTTTCTGACGTAACGTCAGTCAAAGGGCGGGTTTCGTCAAGATCGCGATTTGCGATGCCAGCTTGATCCACATCCTCGAGAAGCACAATACATCTATCAGGAAGGGATAGAAACAAGCGACTGAGACTGTCTCCATCGACGGTCTTCGAATTCAGACTGACTGTGAATATTTGGAGACTTAACAAACCCGCAATAGCAAGGCAAAGACTCGATTTACCGGTACCAGGCGGGCCTTGGAAGAGATACCCCCGTCGGTATGGAATACCACGTTCGTGATACCAGGAACGAGTGCGCGGTTGGAGGAAGTCAGTCAAATCGGCGATAATTGCGCGCTTGATATCGGGTTCGACAATAACAGTCGAGAGAGGTCGTGGTCTTTTGGATGGTAGCCCGGCCCACTGAGGAACCATTCCATCCTTTAATGCTTGGTTAACGCGTATAAGATCGTCGTTCCTTTTCTCAGCAATTCCCTGTATCTCATCCAACAGATCTCTGAGAACGGACTGACGCCACGCGTAGAGATATAGTTTCTCGCGATGATCAGTCCAAGGGCTGCCGGCATCCTTGTATGGCTGACGACGGAAACCGAGAAGATACCCTCGATGAAAGAAGAAGTGAAAGCCAGCAGGTGCAGGTGTGTATCGAATAGGCAAATATCTCTTGAGTTGTCTAATTTTGACCCAGAAATCTCGTGGGTCGTCGTCAAACTGCTGAAGTTCTTCCATAGAAAGCTCCTGCCAGCCAGTTTTTGGCTCGTCCTTCTCCCACGGAGAGACGAAATTATTCTTGGTACCGGCGATCGATTTCCGCGCGTCCCTTAACCCAGGTACTTGAGACGCCCATTGCATCACGTCGTTGTATATGGTATCGTGATATCGGATCTCAACAGATGCTGCCAAATCGAGAAGAACGGAATACAGGCGGGTCAAAAGCACCGGAACAGCATATGTGAAAATCACGAAGGAAGCTATAAAAGCAAGAAGAAAGACCGAGGTATCCGTGTGCAGATAGAACGAAAAAAGTCGAGCCAGAAAGCTGTAGCCGGGTAGAAGACCCTCAAGCATAATATCGGGCGATAGTATACCGTACATGGGTTCTTTCGTATCCATAACTGAAGCAGGTGATGGTGGACGGTCAGAGACTGCGAATCCTGTGGTCTGGCTCGATATACGAGCTCGAGGGCAGTCTTATGTACTGGCCAGTCAAGCAGGTGTCTAAGTAACGTCTATTCAGTAACCGCATGGCAATGCTTTCCGAATACAAGACGTCCCAGCGAATACAACCCCCCTCGGTGCAGAGTGGTGTGCGAAGGTATAATTACATGATGCGCGCTTTCCGTGGGTTTATCCACTAGCCTGCGCAGACGCGCTCGTAATTGGCACTCGGGCTGCATACTAGCGATAATGATGATGGAACGGATAGTACGGACTTATCCTGGTGGAGGGGGTTTTCTGTCAAGGAGGTGGGGCTCAAAGGCTCGCAGGAGGAGCATGGGCAACCGCGACAATGATTTTCGGGGGCCAGATTATGGCCTGGATAGGAGCCGGTACGGGCAATGCACTAGCTTCAGAGATTCGTGGCCAATAAGCATACAATACTCTCTGCCGCACCTGTCAGGGATTTGCTTCCTGCCTGAGGCCTAGAACTACGACTGCGTACTTTTTCTTCATTACAGGAACGAACTCTTTCAAAACGCCAAAATGTGTCAAACTTGCGCGGCGACTCAATGACTAAGGGTAGGATTGTGTAAGTGGGAATGGGCCCGAGCGCATCAGTACCACTAGTGGGTGTCAAACACAAACAATTCAAGTCGGTAAGAGTGCACGCCCCGCATCCTCATTTATCATTCGCGACGACTGTAGTAGAAGAGCCCGTCGCGGCCAAGGAAGCTGAGGAATGGCAGAAAAGATTGCCGCATAGCCGCATCAGTGATCCATTTGCGATGTCTTAGCAAGCACACATAATAAGGTTGTGTCCGTCACGGTAGAATGAGGTCCTCTCGGTGTCAAGTCAAGTGTATGGCCTAGGGCGCCATTAACCTCACTGGTCGCTAGGCTCGTCAGGTGTTCTAGACAAGCGCTTGCCACGGAATATCCCTGGCCAGTGTCAATCTTCATAGAGCGAGCTAGTGCACTGTGGTGGCGAAATTTGTACTAACCTATACTGTCTTCCTAGCTCATCCCAGTAGTTGGAGAGATGATTGCCAAGAATTCCCCATGCTATAAGCAACAGCAAAACAATGATGACACATAGAATAGCAATTGTGTCCGGCATGATGTGTACGATCAAGAGGGGGTCTTCGGGCGTCGTAAACGCTCAAATATCGGTCATAAAATTGGCAATTGCTTAAAGAAACAATATGACTCTGGAGCAAGAAGACGCACCTAAGCTTTATATCACACACCCTTCCTTTACATACAATATAACAGCGGGCATTGTTTCCGAACGACGATCATCACTGCTCTAATTCCTACGGCGAGAGTTCTTGCAGCTATCGGTAGGTAAAATGTATGTAGCTTGTGTACCAATAAATCCGACTGTCTCTAGTCTAGCCAGTACTTCACTGAATCAGCTACTGCGCTTTGGGCAATTTACTAAGTTCAGCTACTGCAAATTGAATGAGGGGAAAGCAGAGATGCAGGGGCGGGCATTGATGTCCATGTCATGCCGGGTACAAAGAGTTTCAATACACCAGAATATGTCAAACGGGGGCGGGAGAGGATTAGTCTCCAAAGCATTACGCCTCTTTCCAATTGTGGAAGCATGACGGCGCCCATAGGGGTAGATAGATTTGGCCGCTGACACACGCAAAGCAAGGACATGCTCTCAAGTGACCTCTCACTCTCATAAAGCAGGACGGTTCCGTCTCTAGCTTTATGGAGCAACACATAATATTCCGTGCTTCAAACTTCTGCAGCCCGCCAAACACCCACTTTCTCATCTACCCAAGTCACGAAAAAATGGTAGGCTTACCCCCTCTTTGTATCAAGGAGACATTAGCTGAAGCATGACTGTGGTACCAGTCTGAGATCCACGAACATTTCTTCCAAGTCCCAGCGCAATCTGTTTTGAAGACTTTGCTGGTATTCTGCTTGAGTCAGCAACAATCCCTTAGCGATGATTATAGTATAGACATCGGCATAGACGCCAGGTCTCTTCTGCAAGAGTGCCAGAGCCTGAATGGGGAGGCATTTTACAACAAGGATATATCTCATTTGATTCAGAACAAACTACTTTGCAGCCATGCGGAAAATATTTCAAGTAGGCTCACTCAAGATGCTTTGCTGAAATTATCTCTTCTTGCTTGGCACTTCGACTCGAATGGTTCTGTTTCTCAAGACCTCCGTCACTTTATTTGGCAACCCAAGGCCGATTTCATCGACGTGTGCGAAACTATCTGGAGTCAGTACAACAATCGGTCGAAGTATCCCACGTCACTCAGAACGTTCGAGGAAGAAATGTTTTGGTTGTTGACAAATCTTGAAGGGGCTTTTAGATACAGGTGGAATGTTGTCTTCTTTGAGTGGGAGGACTCAGCTGCTCACACAGAGTAGTAGCGGGCTTGATGGAAGCTGAACTGCTATTGTTGATGCGTTACTATGGTTTTGTTCGCTTAGGGTGCCTTTCAAGCAAGCAGCAATCTACTGTATTTATTATTAACTACATCAGATGAAATAACTCTCCGATTGAACTTATTGCCCCCCATTAGATAAAGAAAAGACAAGGGCATCTTTACTGCCTGGATTATTGCTACTGCGAGTTCTCGGCAGCATGTGCTGTCAAGTACTGATTCCAAAGCCATCCTCACAGCACATGGCGTTGCCTCCCGGGCTTAAGCTTTCTGTCCAACGGTGTAAATTGGTGCGATGCTTACAAGGAGGATTAGACCTTTTGACAGTGTGGTTTGGTGTTCGACCCAGATAGATTTGCCGACCGTGACTCTCGAATCACCAATTAGACCCGAACTCTCTATCCTAAGGACAGTGTAGACAGCCTTGATGATATTGTGAGGCGTGATAATATCCTTGGATGTCCGAAATAGGGAGTACTTTCCGACCTAACAACCAATAATTAATGATCTGAGATTAACCTGTTCCTAGAGCCTTACCCCTTCATATATCAAATCACGCAGCGGTATTAAGGGTATGTCGATATCAATAGATGGATTGATAATACCGGAGTCACTAGAGGCGTCCTTCACACGAGGCAGCGTACCACTGAGCCAGTTGTCCATTTGAGATATAAATCCACATATCTTAGATTCTACTATCGCATCATGGAGCTCTTGCAGGTGCTCAAATGATTGCAAGCACTCAATTATAATATCTGCATCATCAGCCGTTGAATGGGTAAATTTGGAGATCGGATTCTTACCGGACGGCGAGCTTGTGCTAGCATCATGCAGTGGACGGTGACTGTAGCCACGCGCTTGGCGATCGTAATAAATTGGAACAGGTTGTACTGACTCATCAAGAAAGACAGGACGTGTGTGAAAATTCGGTGAAACTTCAGACTAATAGTGTTACTACCTGTATGTCGCCGCCGGGCCTGGTTTCCACCCACATACCATGGTTGGATGTTGTACTGGCACCGTTATCTAAATCCTTGCCATAGTGTTCGATGACATACTGCAACTCAAAACAATGTGGCGGCTTGGGCAGACATTTCGATGGGATCGAAGCTCTGAGGCACTTTTGATAGCACGAGTAGAATTGGTTGTAGTCATCCTTTCTCAAACTTAGCCCTTTGTGGGCCTCATCTTTAACATCTTGGAAATGTCTGTATAGAGTGTCTGGTCGTGGGAAACCTCGCAGACATTCTGGACACAAATACTTGATCGTTGATTGCCGAAGAACCTCTTTCTGTGTATTGAATTGCCTCTGGAGGCTAGACATATTGGAGGGAATGAAGTCAAGGGAGAAGATAAGCACTGCGGGGTAGAGGATCTTAGGGTGGGCCTCTCTCCTCTCCTCGTCAAGTTTGACGGTGTTTGGTATGTTGTTAAGTGGTACTGTATTGGCAACAGGGACCTGCCGAGGATCTACTTTCCGCTAGTGCGGAAAGGAACCTCTGTGTCTCTCGCCTTTACCATACTGATACATTATCCTTTCGGCCAATCAACGGAAGAGGATCCACTCCTCGTTTTCTTCTCGCTTCTTATTTGACTTGGAATGACGCTTAAAATGAGGAACACATATACTACAAGGACTCCCGGCAATCACTGAGCTCAGAGATATGGCGGGTGATAAAAGCAACAACTGAACTTCCCAGTGAATATATAAGTTTTGTGAGAAGCAACCAGCGAAATACATTTTACCAGATACCTCAAGAAATTTGAGAGTCAAGGTGGCTGAGTCCCACTATGTAATCCAACATAGTCTCCATACGTAAAATTGGGAGGTACTTCTAGATCCTTCACTGAAACCATCCAGAGTTATCTGCTAGTAGAATCTACCCATTCACGTCGGAATACGTGGTTCATTAATTGCTGAAAGCCGTCTTGGTAGGAAGATTCATTGTTGCGGCTGGCTTTCGAGAGCCCCGGTTCGATATGGAGAAAGGCTAACTCTTATGCTTCAGCGGACAATTCGTTTTCATACACCTCTGATGACTGAGAGAAATTGTTCATTCGAACTAAGACAGCAGATTAAGTTAGCATTACTATTTCAAAGTGATAAATATCCTTTCGTGGCTCCGACTGACCTTTTGCAGCATCATTGGCATAATGTTTAACCACAAACATAACCTCGAAAAACTCGAAACCATACCGTAGCTTTTCGGCAGGAACTGAAGCCCCCAAAGCATCTTGGTAGCAGTCGAGGAAATTTTTGAAATCAACTTTTCGCATGCTGAGACCCTTATGAATGTCGTCTCCCTCGGTCTTGAAGTGGCGGTAGAGGACATCGGCACGGGGAAACCCTTGAAGGCATTGAGGACAAACAACGCGTAATGTGGACTTTTGTATGATCACTTTGCAGCCACTGAGCTTTTTTCTAAGCTCATCATATTGAGTTTTGATTGAGGAACCTGATGCCGTACTATTTGAACAAAGCTTTGGGGTATTGGAGGGATTAAATATGGTAAGAGACCGTTTTGATTATGGTGTACAACTCAGACTGATTATGATTCTCTCTTTCCAATTCAGTCAGAGATTGCTACCACGAAAGCACCGACTTTCTGAGTAAAATAAAATCCAACTATTACTGTGCGCCGACAAGTCATACATATTCCATATACACTAATGTATAGCTGACTGCAGTCACAGGCATCGATCTTCACACCACCTTGCCTGTTTAACCGAAACGACTGATTGGATCAGAAGGGCTCCGACTGAAGTTGTTCTTCCGTTTGTCCTTTGCCCTCTTCCGAGCCTTATTTAGATCTGAGTCCTTAAATCGCCCTTCGCGTATCGATTCAGCCAGCTGATCCAGACTGAAACAGTTCCAGCCAGCTTTAACCACTGCAAGTGTCGCTGAGCTTCCGAGTTCCTTGAACTCGCCCCAAGGAAGGCGATCATAAAAACGAGACCGAAGGAATGTTACCACGAGATCATCAGGCCCTCTTTCCACATCAGCAAAAATGATGATCTAAATATGTCAGTAAAGAACTTCATACAATGCAAGAACATAGCAGACCTCTTGATCTTGCGAAGTAGGTTTGGTAATGGTCACCCATTTCTTGAACCATTTCCAGGCCAGGGTAGCGGCGAAGCAGTCCATTACTATTCTGAGTAAAATCGCCAAAAAGGACTCTGAGGAGTATTGGAATATGCAGAACTAGTGTACAACCAGCAGACTCGAGACAGCTGTGCATATGCGGTCGAAATCTGTTGCTCGAGCTCTCCATTTATAACCTGTATGTCTGCCATGACCCGTATCTATTTACGAATTAGATCTATCCGTAGACTACCGAAAGATAACTCAATGTTGTCACCGTACCCGGTTATGCACATTTAATTGTCTCAATTTTAATCGATTTCTAGATAATCAAATGCAGGAAATGACTTCGCGACAAGGTTAGCTACGCAAGTTCGCCGAAAATACTGTGTATGGTTCATTGCTTTGAAATAATTATAGAACTACCTGAAACAAAACTCTAATATCTGGATTCTCAAGTAAAAACGGCATGTACTTTGGTTTTCAGATTTGATTAGTCGTGCAGTGTATAGGGTCATACTATACCTTGCCGACATCAGGAATGGAGGAAAGATGAAGGAAAGATGGAGGAAAGATGGAGGAAAGATGGAGGAAAGATGGAGGAAAGATGGAGGAAAGATGGAGGAAAGATGGAGGAAAGATGGAGGAAGGCTTTATTATGTAATCGCGTCTGCTGCCTCAAAAGAAAAGATCTAATGTTTAAGCTGAATTAGCTAGCCCACCGAACCATTTGATTAGTGAAGATGGGCGGAGAAGGTGATAGCAAAAAATAAGTACCTCTGTCACATCATACCGCTAACCAAATACGGACTGGTGGCCAAGAGACCTGACCTCGGAAAGCTATCGTCGGTCCTTACGACGGACTTCAATGTCAAAGCAAAAGGGAGCTTCATACCTCGAATGATTTTCTGCGTCCCTTTTAAAGGGTAACAAGGCATGGGCTCAAATATCCTGAAGCCATTTATTCGACCATCTGCAAACTTGACATTGTCTCCAAGACGATTCTATTATTCGCAACTCATACCGCAGCTTGTTTGTCGACGCCGAAAAATGGCTACTGCTCCCTTGTCTCAACCACGAACATTTCCGACAACAGGTTTCAGCGTTCTGGATTCATCTAGAGATTTCGAAGAAGAAACTTTGCCAGGTTATCTGAAAGAACGCTACTACCCAGTCCGCATTGGCGAAATCTTTCGATCTCGCTATCAGGTTGTGACAAAATTGGGCTTTGGTTCATCATCGACTGTATGGCTATGTCGAGATCTACAGTAAGTTAGCACGCTTGCAATATTGACAGAAACAAAATTAAGATAATCAAGTGATGGACAGTTTCTGGTCTTAAAAGTTCATGTTCGTACAGTGCGGCAACCGTCAGAAGTGCAGATATCGACCCATTTGAAGGCGGCTCACAATGCTCGTGGCATTGAAAGATATGTACGACTTGTTCTTGACTCATTCCAAATTTCTGGACCACATGGAATTCATCCGTGTTTTATCTATGAGCCTGCTGGAATTGATATTCGTGACTATATACATTGCCTTGAAGGTGATGCTTTAACAGAGGAACTTCTTCGGCCCGCTCTTCGATTTGTACTCATTGCTTTAAATTACCTCCATCAGTCTGAAGTCATCCATACCGGTGAGACTTGATCCGAATCAGTCTTCCAATTCACGAAGCTTATATTTTTGCAGATGTCCAGCCAAATAATATTCTTCTAGGCATAGAGGATAAAACGGTTCTAGCTTACATGGAGGAAGACGAGATTACTAACCCGGCACCTCGAAAACTTCTTGATGATCGCACAATTTATGCTACACGTGCTATGCCTCTGACGAGCGGGGAGCCGATACTTGCCGATCTTGGAGAAGCGCGACTGGCTGAGGAGAGACAAACTGGCCTCATAATGCCAGAAGTGTACAGAGCACCAGAAGTTATGCTTGATATGGAATGGGACAACAAAGTAGACATTTGGGCAATAGGTCAGACTGTAAGTTTCAACGTTTGAACTATGTAATCTATGCTGATATCACACCTGTTAGGCATGGACTTTGTTTGAACAAGGACACCTCTTTAGGAGCCAGAATCTGGACACTCAAAGCGGCCAAGCTCGACGTTTCGCGGAAATGGTTTCTCTTCTGGGACCACCTCCTGTCGAATTCCTCAGGCGAAGTAAGCAAAGCCTTGAATTCTGGGATGAGGAAGGTAAGAATTGCTGGCGTTCAGTCTCATATAATTGTGATCAGATTCGTTCCTAAACTTTTGCAGGCAATTGGAAAGATGTGGAAAATATTCCTCAACAGTCTCTAGAAAGTCGTGAGTCTCGACTTGAAGGCGATAGTCAGAGGCTCTTCCTCGGATTTCTGCGAAAAACGTTGTGTTGGTTGCCCGAAGAGAGGCCAACTGCGGAACAACTGTTATTGGATCAGTGGATAAGAGGAGAAGATTATTGAAAATGATTAGTAGATATTGATGTCTTCAGCTGTTAGTTCTCAATTATCCTTCATACATTCAATAAAAGAGATCAGCATAACTTGAAACCTACCTAGCCGGAGGTCCATGGATTTTTCCTTCCGCACGGAAGAGATCAAAACTATTCTTTGATAGACGAAATGTAATAATCTTACTGTAGTAGTAACCACGTATCTGCCCAACGCGAGGCGGAGCAGGACCGATCACGTGATGGAGGGGAACATCAATTTTCGTCCGAACTTGCGAATCATCTTCTTATTATAATTCAAGAGGTATGGACCAATATCGAGTCGCGCGTCACTTCCTGTGACTTATGTCAACCAGACTTATCTTATTAAGCTCATTCGACTCCCATAGTCTGTGTGCGCTCCGTCTTTCATCGTTCCACTACGAGTTTAGGCGAGCCGTGTGGCTTCGACCTTGCATTTTTGGTTGCTCTGAGAACACACGTCAAATGGTAACAGTCCTCTGTGAATCTCCTTTTATCGGGTCTACTAACTATCATTAGGTATTTGAAGTTAGCTCACTCGACAACGACGTGGACTTCGATGCTGTACCCCAGAACCGTGTCACGATGATTGTCGGTAGAGATCAAACCGTTTTTTGGAAAGGTTGCAATGTCACCGTGTACGATACAGATAGTGAGGGCAAACAACAAATCACATTCTTGGAAAGCATGCCAGATGGTCAAATGGTGGTCAGAAATGGTGTGAAACTATACATCACGCAAGGCAAGGTCAAAGAGGAGGATGGTACTGGTTGAATTTAAGCGTACAGTTTCTTGCTGATCTCAAAGCCACGGTTAAGATCAAGGGATAGGTTGATTATCGCCCCTTGAGCTGTGATGATCATTGAAACACATTCTGTCAAGAGCCTTCCCTGCTCGATTTCTCTTCTTCGCACAGGGCTGACCTTGATCGCTTCGCTTATCTCAGAACCAAATACATTAATAATAGCCTCATCTTTGACACCTTTCATGGTCAATTCAGAATCTGGCATAAGCAACGTAGGTCCATCATTGAAAGTGATGTGTCGGATTGACTCTGCTGAGCTGATTCTCGCATTGAACAGAGCCATTGCAAGAAAGTCCACGCCTAGCATGGATATGTCTAGGCTTATCAAGCAATTGACCAATCCTCCCCAAAGGGGAAAGGCGGTAGTCACAGCTGCTTTCCAAACGGTAGTCTGTTCGCTTTGAACTGGAACTCTGGTGATTGTGGCGCAGAGTTTTTTTTTGAAGATGGCCGCAATGCCTTCGGGAGATGCATGCTCATATGTGGTTCCGTCTATAGTCGAATGGCTGTTGTGTAGCGTTATATGGGGCTGGCTTGTATCTCTTGTCTCTTCGGACGTGTGGTGAGAAAAGGGGACTGAGAGTTGCTCTAGAACAGGGGAGCTTAGCAATGATCCGCCACACTCGCTTTCTAGCTTATCGAGAAGCGCATCACGTTGATCACGCTTCATGCAGGTGATACCGTCCTTGCCAATCGCAGTGACGCAAACAGTAATACAAGCTGCACTTTGAGGTTCGCATCTCAATCGTATAGCTGACAAGAAATTGTGGAACTTCCGATCCTTGGATGAAATGGGATCCTGAGATAAAGAGTCGAAAGCTAGCGTGATTATCCGCCTATCTTTGCCATTTCTTAGAGATTGGTTTTTGACGATAGTACGCCCAACCATTTCAATTTTACACCAAGCTTCCTCACAGGTGATTGGAATGCGTGGACGCCGTTGATTGCGTGATGACAGAGCCATTATAGAGTAAGTAAGATCAATACGAGAATCAGTAGATCTCTGGAGGAAAGATGGAGGAAAGATGGAGAAAAGATGGAGGAAAGATGGAGGAAAGATGGAGGAAAGATGGAGGAAAGATGGAGGAAAGATGGAGGAAAGAAAGGAAAGATAAAGGAAAGATGGAGGAAAGATGGAGGAAAAGAAGAGTGTACTAACTTGTTTACACAGAGGTACATTCTGTACCAATCGGCTCCTTGCTGACCTTGACTCATTGGTAAGCTGCGCTCACTTCCGTGTAAGATGCAAGCCACCAATACAAATCTCTATTTGTTATGAAATGCAATGTAACACTTGCGTTAATCTGCGTGCAGAGCCTGCAAGCTGTCCGAAAAGCAACGACCTATAAACTCAAAAGAGGAGATAAATTATGGCCATCCTAAAAGGATATAAAGACAACCCTCGGCCTTCATCGCCTTGAACATGAGCAATCTTTCTCTTTCTCTATCATCGCATACAATTTTTCCTGCACCTGAGAGACTTGAGGACATTGTACAAGTCGTACCTTTTCAAACTAGGACAGTATGCAGAGAACACCCGCACGTCTTTTCGAGATCACGGGGAAAATTTCCGTGGAGGATGTTGCAGCACGAAGTGGAGCAGGATGGAAAAACGGTATCAATGCTGCCGTTCCTCACCTGAGAGCAAAAGTAAGCCTCAAGTACTTTGATCTTCAGTTTCTTTTCGGCTGACATTGTGCCCTAGTATCCTCGTGCAGCAACTGCCTCCTTCAAGTGCTACTCCCCCTTAGAATACGTCTTTTGGCCCGTGACTGACAGGTTATCTAGTGGCTCCCAAGCCCATAAATCGTCCAAAGACCCGACTGATCCTAAGAATTGTGTTACATTGGCTATGTTTAGCGAGAGAGGAACAAGGATTGCTTCTGCACACATACACGAGGACGGAACTTTCAATGACTTTCCGTCTCGTGCTGGAAGAGCAGGGATCCAGGAGGTCGCGAAATCTGATTCTGCGTCTTTTATCGAAGATGCAAGCTCTCGAAGGTAGACTTGCTAACCTTCCAATTGTCAAGATGCACGAAGTGCTATATATGTTGCTGTGCCCTCCCTGATATTTTCAAGTAGGTATCACGATTGGTTGACATAATATCAGATGCTCTGATTGAGTCTGGACTTGTTTTGTCGCTGGAGCGTAGCCTATGTTCTATTTTAACTTCTCTCCATGCTGTTCACAGTAAACTACATCAAAGATGAGCGAAAAGCAGGTACACAAGCCAAATGGAGACAACTGTATATTATGAATCAATATCAATTACTCTTTGACCTGCTGGGGTTGCTGCAGCATGTGCGACGAAGAATCAAGCATCCTTTGAGCACGATAAGGTAAGTGGTTTAAAATGAACCTTACTGAGCTAATCTAAATTGTAGATTGACAATAAGAGAGGAGAGTACTCACCACTAATGAGAGGCACTGTCAGAAAAGTTGATGATGAGGTAGTATTTTCGACACTTGCCCTCCCAGAATTTCAGAATATGTAGCATCAGGTATCGGAACATTTTGAAGAGTCTTTGGCTCAGATGTTAGTATCATCGCCTAATCTCCGCAATGTCCTTGAGCCCTGGAAGCATGATGCTTATCCGCGATATGTTACGGATGTTGTACTGGCACCGTTATCTAAATCCTTGCCATAGTGTTCGATGACATACTGCAACTCAAAGCAATGTGGCGGCTTGGGCAGACATTTCGATGGGATCGAAGCTCCGAGGCACTTTTGATAGCACGAGTAAAAATGGTTGTAGTCATCCTTTCTCAAACTTAGCCCTTTGTGGGCCTCATCTTTAACATCTTGGAAATGTCTGTATAGAGTGTCTGGTCGTGGGAAACCTCGCAGACATTCTGGACATAAATACTTAATCGTTGATTGCCGAAGAACCGCTTTCTGTGTATTGAATTGCCTCTGGAGGCTAGACATATTGAAGGGAATGAAGTCAAAGGAGGAGGATTAGCAATGCGGGGTAGAGGGTCTTACACTCCTCGTCAAGTTTGACGGTGCTTGGTATGTTGTTAAGTGGTACTGTATCGGCAGCATGTACCTGCCGAGGATCTACTTTCCACTAGTGCGGGAAAGGAAACTCTCAGTGTCTCTCCTTTAATATACTGATACATTATCCTTTCGGCCAATCAACGGAAGAAGATCCACTTCTCGTTCTCTTCTAGCTTCTTATCTGACTTGGAATGGCGCTTAAAATGAGGAACATATACTACAAGGACTCCCGGCAATTACTGAGCTCAGAGATATGGCGGATAATGAAAGCAACAACCAAGCCTGTCAGTGAATATTTAAGTTTTGTGGGAAGCAACCAGCGAAATACATTTTACCAGGTAAGAAATTTGAGAGCCAAGATGGCTGAGTTCCACCACGAAATCCAACGTAGTCTCCATACGTAAAATTGGGAGGTACTTCTCGCGCCTTCACTAAAACCATCCAAAATTATTTGCTAATAGAATCTTCCCCATTCACGTCGGAATATGTGGTTCATCAATTGCTGAAAGCCGTCTTGATATGAAGATTTATTGTTGTGGCTGGCTTTCGAAAGCCCCGGTTCGATTTGGATAAAGGCTAACTCTCATGCTTCAGAGGGCAAACCGGTTTCATATACCTCTGATGACCGAGAGGAACTGTTAATTTGAACTAAGACAGCAGATTAATTAGCATCAGAATGCTGACAATGTGATATTATGGCCTCTCGTGCTCCGACTGACCTTTTTCGGCATCATTGGCATAATGTTCAACCACAAACCTAACCTCAAAGCACTTGTGACCATACCGTAGCATTTCGGCAGAGATTGAAGCTCCCAGAGCCTCCTGATAGCAGGCGAGGAATTGTTTAAAATCGGACTTTCGCATGCTGAGACCCCTATGGATGTTGTCTTTCTCGGTCTTAAAGTGGCGGTAGAGGACATCGGAACGGGGGAACCCTTGCAGGCATTGAGGGCAAACAACACTTATAGTTGATTTCTGAATAATCACTTTGAAGGCACTTAGCTGTTTTTCTAAGCTCGCCATATTGTACTTTGATAGACGAGTCTGATGCCGTACTGCGCTCCGGGGAATTGGAGAAATTAAATAAGATAAGAGACCATGTCAAGTGTGATGTACAACTCAGATTGATTATCAGACCCTTCATCGGGTGTGCCGAAACACTTCTTCTTTCAAAAGGCCATTTTTCTGCGGCAACCAAAGCCAAACTATTACTGTTCGTCGACAAGTCAAATACATTCTATGTACACTAATGTATAACTGACTGCAGTCACAGGCATTGACCTTCACACCACTTTATTCGCTCAACCAAAATAACTGATTGGATCAGAAGCACTCCGACTGAATTTGCTCTTACGGTTTTCCTTTGCCTTCTCCCGAGCCTTATCCAGATCCGACTCCTTGAATCGTCCTTCGCGTATCGATTCAGCCATGTGATCCAGAATGATCCAATTCCAGCCAGCTTTAACCACTGCTAGTGTTGCCGAGCTTCCGAGTCTCTTGAACTCGTCCCAAGGAAGGCGGTCATAAAAACGATACCGAAGGTATGTTACCACGAGATCATCAGGCCCTCTTTCCACGTCAGCAAAGATGATAATCTAGTTGTGTCAGCGGAGAGATTCCCTAGCAATGCAACAGTATGGCAAACCTCTTGATCTTGCGACGTGGCTTTGGTAAAAGTCAGCCATTTCTTGAATCCTTTCCAGGACGTGAAAGTGGAGAAGCAGTCCATCATTATTCTAAGTTGAAATGCCAAAAAGGAATTGAAGAAGTATTGAAATATGCAGAAGAACCTGGGTGCCGGCATACTCGAGAAAAGTGTGCATATGAGATTCAATTTGTGGCTCGAGCTCTTTATAAGGTTGATCGACGTGTCGAATGATAATGGTAATTGTGACGGCTCTGGCAGAAGCCTTACGACAACAGCTAAAGCTGATTGGCAACATCATTCTAAGAAAATCCAAGATTGATAAGAGATATTAGGAGCAATAGGGAGCAGTAGAAGTAATAGGGAGCGGTAGAAGCAACAGAGAGCAGTAGGGAGCAATATGAAGCAATATGGAGTAATAGGCAGCATCAGAAGCAATAGGGAGCATTAGAAGAAATAGAGAGTAATAGGGAGCAATAGGAAGTAATAGGCAGCAATAGAAGCAAAAGGGAGCAATAGGGAGCAATAGGGAGCATTAGAAGAAATAGAGAGTAACAGGGAGCAATAGGAAGCAATAGGGAGCAATATGAAGTAACAGGGAGCAATAGGGAGCATTAGAAGAGATAGGAAGCAAAATGAGTAACTGGGAGCAATAGGGAGCAATAGAAGCAATAGGAAGCAATATGAAGTAATAGGCAGCAATAGAAGCAAAAGGGAGCAACAGGGAAGGAAGGAAATCTTGCGTGGCTGAAAAATGTGGCGTTTATTCTCTTTTGCCACAAGTTGGGAGAACACTTCGGGCCGAATTTGCCTACCCCTCCATTTTTATTGACCTGCTGCAAATCTTCACAAAAGATGAAACCCAGGTGGTAGCCCTGGAAAAGTACGAAATTATGAGCTTATAACAAGAAAAAACACTTAACAAGTTATCTCAAACGAAAATTTATCACGACTTCTTCCCAAGCACGGCTTCCTGATATGACCACCGAAAAAGTCCTGGTCTGTATTCTGCCAAATCTTGCTGCTTGCTCCGCTAACTATTGTAGGTCGAGCGATGGAAACCTCTCCCAGTTGACTCAAGTTACTTTGATGACTGTATTCTCCACCCTATCAACTACATCGCTCAGGAGAATTACGAGCGGAAATTATATTGCTTCGACTGTGAGGAGATAATATTTCACGATGAGAACGGGGCCACGATATGGACAACCACAGGTAGCGGATTTATGGACGGTCTACCAAAGCAGGTCTCAGTCATGATCAAGAGAGGGAAACAACGGTTGGCATGACACAATTAGCCATCAAATGCATAAAGCTTGGTAGCCATGAATATCCCATGGGACCACCCGACACGTAAAGTAACAGTTGCCTCGCAGGGCCGACTGCGCATTATATCTAAGCTTATGCAGTCCGTTGTCCTGAGGACAAAATTCTTGATCTCCCATGCCCGTAGTTGGCTCTCTTCAATGCCTTGACTTAACGAAGATCCAAAGATGATAGGGATTGATGACGTTGATGCGCCTCGAAATGTGAAGCAAGCATTATCATCTAAACACGTTAGCCACAAACTTGCTTCAAGTTTTATGCTAAGTCCTCTTACATATTTCTGCAATCGCTGGCTCCCTTGCTAATTGGGAAGACTCCACGTTTGTCAGCTCGGTCCCATGTACAGTTAAAAATCTCTCCCATGCTGTGGGGAACAGAGCCTTGACAATTGAATCATGAAAACCGATATCCAATTGTACAGTTGCGTCTTGATGATCATACCGAGGGAAGCTCATACGTATGCACTGCGTTGATGTCAAGAGTTGGTTTTCCTTTTCACGCGTCCGCCTCGGAGAATTCTCAAATGCTTCGTATAGGTCCTTATTCAGAAAATGACGGGCTCTAGTCACATCGGCTGTGCTATAGAACCATGCCCCATCTGATTCCGTGTTCGTTTTTGGCTTTGGCAAAGGCACTTACAACATTACGTCAGCAGAAAACTCATCCAAGAGAACACAGAATTACCTGAGGTGGAAAGCAAGTCCAGAATGTTCTTGAATGTAGTGGTTTGATGAACACCGACTCTCTTTGCTATATTTTCGAGGTCATTTAGAACTTCGCCACTCAATGCTGCTGATTTGCAGCTCTGTAAATTTTTCCGAACGTCGCTCGTTTTCCAGCTCCGGCATGAGTTAGGAGACACAGTCATAATAAATGGCAAAAAGATGCTGGGGAACACTTCAAGGACTTCCAAGTAGATCCGCCGTGCTCGTTTCAACCGATCGTGTAAATTGTACTCTCTTTTTGGTCGTGCTGTTTCCATACGCCTTAGACGATCGGGAGGCCTGCAGATTAGTGTGAGACGTTCTTCGACTAGTGAAACATAGTCGTTAGGGACTGATTTGACTCGACTCAATTGCTCGAACAATTCGTTTATGCGCTCTATCATATTCATCTTAAAATATGTTCAAACTGGTCCAGTTTTTGGTGAGGGCGAACTTATAGTGAGGCCGTATTGGACGAAGAAGTGGAGCAGTAGGGAGCAGTAGGGAGCAGTAGGGAGCAGCGAGGTTTAAGTACTATAAGAACTCAGCTAGCGCGTACCTGTTTTACCCCACTCCTCGTAACCCGCGCACTGACACCAGCTGAAAAGAATTACGACACGATGGATCGAGAATGTTACATTGTTTTGCTAGGCTAGGACAGAAGCATGTGACTTGGTTGCACCGTATACTTGGAATAGTTTTTAGCTCGGAACCTGTTCACCAATGCGGGCTTAATCACTTGGCTTTTATCACGCGAAACCAGATAATTAAGGACTTCTGGTTTTAGTGGTCTATGAGATCCAATATAGCAGAGTTTTCGGCCTTTGAGCACAAATATATTTGTAACAAAGATAGAGCATATTCCACTCAACTAAAGATAAATCGAAGCGTTATATTTTCCAGTAAGCAAACCGGAAGACCTCGACTACTGACTACCACTCGTAGAATCCACCTTGTCTGTTTCAATCTGCCTACCCATCCTTCTCAACCAGAGCTCTAAGCTGAAGTTACCATCACTCAGATCATTGACATTTCCCACGAATTTGAACGTATGTCCTATATCCTCTTTTGGCCCCTGGTCATCTGTAAATCTGATGAGACAGGGCTCGGCATGGTAATTATTTGTCTCATAAGTCGCAAGCTTCTCGCCAAATTCCACCGTGCGCACATGATACACAAAACCGTGAACAACTGATCCAGGCGCATCGATCAAGGCTGGATACTGACCCCACATCTTACAGTCGTAGCCGAGTAGGTAAGCAGGTCGGAGTTTAGGCTTCTCGTCTAAGCCAAGGACTTCAGCAAGCATCGAAGGGTCGACAAGTGTGCCGTAGAAGAAGTATGGGCCAGTGGGTGCTGCAAGTAGATCAACAAAAGGCGAATTTTTTGGTGCTTGGTAGAAGTAATCGGAAGGAGCGTTTCTTAATTTTAGGACATATGGAGATATCTTCGACTTCAGGTTCTCGGGTGGCGGGGGAGATGGAGGTGGCGGCGGGTAGCTACTTTCTTTTGCTTGAGAAGCCATAGCAATAAAGAAAATGATATAGGAGATAATGATGATAGAATGCTGCCTTGACGACCGTAAAAGTAGATACCATGAAGCAATCAGACTAAGTGAGAAATCTTGGTTGACAGGAGCTGTGTGTTGTGGCTTAATAACATATTGCTGCGGTGACATCTTTATTAAACGATTATATTGCTGTGTTGATTATATAATCATGAATCCCGCGTGAGGTTCCTAGTGCGGGGATACTGCAACTCCGCACTGATATACTCCCATTCTTTTTTATTGCTTCCTACTGCTCCTTACTGCTCCTTACTGCTCCTTACTGCTCCTTACTGCTCTTTACTGCTCCTTACTGCTCCTTACTGCTCCTTACTGCTCCTTAATCCTCCAGATTACTTCCTTGTCCTCCATGTCAATCTCGTTGCTCCTCAAGTGCCACCACAATTTACAATTCTTGAAAGCACAAGCTCTGAACTCCCTTTTCATTATAGCGCGTAGACTTATCTCTTGTAAACTGACCCCTCGGCGCTAAACCTTCATGTCCAGATCAGGCTTTACCATTGGCTTACATATCCTGGCACTTTCAGAATGTGAAAAGAATACTACATCAATTTAGGCGCCGTACGACTCTTTCTCAAATAATGACTATATCAGAGAAATTCTTTTCGAAGCGTGGCAAAGCTATAAATTGGACGACAAGTTTGTTCTTCTGAGATTCATAGTCACAGTTGTTTCATCTCACCATTCTTTATCACCCTAGGACGATATATACCTTGAGGAAAGTCCCTATGGCGAATCCCCATCCTCCACCTCCTCCACCGGCGGCAAGGCCACTTCTAGGTATGGCTTATACATTCAGAATGCCCTTCAAAGCAAGAGTAACAATGTGACTTAGGCAAGCAAGCAGCCAGTAATGACTCACAGAAGCCCCTATATCCTGTTGGGAGTTTTGGTATAGGTGTCGAGGTTGAATTTCTGTTGGATCCTCGTGACAGAACTGAATCCCTGCATGATATTCGAAGCTTCTCAAAGTCGGTGGCTTCTTCTTACAACAATTTCCTGGCACAATTCAGGAATGATGAGCACCCACAAATGCACAATGCGATCGATGAATCGTACTTTGGGCCACAATTTGCGGAATGGTCTCTCGATTCGGATTCGACAATACATATGCCCAATAAGGGCTGCGCACCCTGTACGTGATTAGCACACCCACTGGTTTCCGAGTCACTGACAGCCTATATAACAGGGGGCCTAGAAAGTATTTCGCCAATCTTCCGAGCCCACAAAGGCTCCATTTGGCGTCAACACATTGATTTTCTCTGGGTATTTCTATCTACACACTACAATGTTAGTTCAAATGATAGCTGCGGCACGCACGTGCACCTCTCACGTGTTGGAGGTTACACGCTTCCAGAGCTCAAGAAAGTATGTCAGTGTATTATACACTTTGAGCCTGCATTTGAAGCTCTTTTACCGGAAGCAAGATTATCAAATGAGTATGCACGAAGCAACTGGCTGGACAACGAGAGTTTCGGACATCGGAATTTATCGCGAAAGCAGAGCATCCAAGCCATTGAGAATGTCTCTAATATGAGAGAACTAGTTCTTCTCATGAATCCGAATCACGATAAGATGTATGGCTGGAATTTTCTCTACCTCTTGAACAGCCCACACGGAACGATCGAGTTCAGAAGAGGGCCTGCAAGTACCTCTGCACAGAATGTCTTTGTCTGTATTGAGATAGCAATGTCATTCGTGGGAGCGGCGATTCAATTGGCCGATGTTGGAAGCCTGGAGCAGGTTCCGGCAACCGTGGGTGGTTTGAAGTGGTTTATCCGCTCAGCGAATCTTCCAGATAAGGTACCTGGACTTTACGACTCTAGGTATCTTGATCTTCTTTTTGCAGGTAAGGCTGATTCTGCTTTTCGTGAGCCCAAGCCCCTTGGCAAACTTTCTCCTCAAAGGTACAACAAACTTTTGAGGAAGATGGAAGAAGATAAAAAGAAGAATGTCGCTTTGGCCAAGATGTCCCAGGAACCATGCTGGAGCTGATCTTTCACTCGCCGCTACGTAAGCGGCGCTGTATTTATGTTCAATTTCTTCTCCCATTGCTTTGAACTGTTTCATTCTATTTGTGTTGCCTGTTTTTAGTCTCCCAATACTTTCCTTCAATACAAGTGCTTTCTTCTCAGAAGGAATCTCCGCCATCTGCCTTGAAATGGCTACATGGACGGCTGAGCTTTCGAGGGTCTTTCAGATCACTACACCAGAGACAGCAAGTGCTCATGAAAAACGGCAACCCTTAGAAGAGAGTAGTATGTGGAGGGAGCAAGACAACGAGGGAGGAGCAGGGGAATACGGAGAATAATTACGTCGATTAATAGGAGCGAGGTCGCGCTTGTATAGATTGACCAGATGCGTTGAGGCGGCTAGGAAATCCCACCAAAAGCGGCGAAAAATGACGCGATCCTCGAAAGCTTCGACAATCATCACCGTTCTGATCACTACAACGAGAATTTGGTAGGCAAAACGCATGCAGCTTGTGAAACCAATAAATGCGACTGCCGCCAATTCAGCCAATACATTGTTGGAGTCCACTACGCCTTGGTAAGGTTGACTTCAGCTACTGCACTATAGATCCGCTTATCAAGAGTGCGCTTGTCGACGATCTGACAGATTTCCTCCATCCGCGTACTCATTCCTGGTACCAGAACCGTGGCATTCCATATCGAAGGGGGTTATCTTTTTCACGGCCCACCGGGCACTGGCAAATCAAGCCTGTGCCTCGCTATTGCTAGTCTGATAGGCCTCGAAATCTGCACAGTCAGTCTCAACTCAAAGAATGTCGACGGAGACAGCCTCACCCGCTTGTTTTTATCTCTACCGGAGAAATGTCTCGTTCTTCTCGAGGATGTGGATCAGGCCGGCATAGATAACCGCAAGATCAGCGAGTCTCTCTCTCAGGTCGAAGATGCGTCAGACGATGATAGAAGCCATGAATGTCCAGATTCCTCTGACCGTTTGCAGGGTGGTCTAAGCCTCTCCAGAAATACTCAATATCATTGATGGTGTCTCTGCCCAGGAAGGGCGAATCTTGATCATGACCACAAACGACCCAGGGTCTCTTGACAAGGCCCTCCAACGCCCAGGCCGGGTGGACTGAGTCTTTCCCTTCCACTTTGCTACCCGCAGAGATATCAAGGAACAATTCCTAACATTCTTTGTGAGGCCTTCAGACCACCACCTTTATATTGCCGATCCCATGATATGAAAATATGTTGTTCTTTGGAACCAGCCTCCTCAAGTTGATCGCTGAAGGATATTGTTCGATTTTCGGAATCGTTCGCTGCCAAGGTTAAGCCGAATACGTACAGCGCTGCGATGCTCCACAATTACCTTTTGCACTTCAAAAATGACCCAGTGTCGGCCGAGCGTAACGTGGCCGACTGGATGACGTATATGGATGAGGGCGAGATATTCATGGTGGCTTGACTGGAATGGAAGGTTCAAAGCACTGAAGCAAATGACGTTCGAGTGCTTTACCAGTCTGAACCCCGGGTCTTAGAAGTAGGCAGGGAGACTAGAAATGACGCGTAACTTTAGCTGGAATATAAGATGTCGACCCGAAGGAAATCATAGCCCACCTTATATTGTCTAGTGCCTCTATGGTCTTTGTGGTTTCGGAATTGGCACGAACAGGAGGATAAAGGATGTGAGTCCTGGGTCACACGAACGCGTAAACGTGCCACTCTAAAGACGGGTTCCGCACAAGATGTGATGAGTAATCTAAGTCAAGCTGGCTTCTTCTGACACGTGATTGCTGTTAACACGGTCAATGATGAATGTCATGCTGAGAAGTCAATTGAAGGGATTAAGCTCCCATTCATCGTAGCAGGATCTGTATTTTTGACCTGTGATTCTTGCCCCTCTGTACACACTCGTCGGGGTTGTCATTGTAGCTGTCGTAGAACTGAACATTCAAATCTGATAGCTATGCATCATGACACTGTTTCTTGCCGTTATTGAATGATGCAAAAAAAGTACTTTTGGGGGTGATGCTTGATTATGAAGCCACTGACCTATCTCTGGCATCAGAATCATGATCAAATGTAGACCATAAAAATACCTGGTATAGTATGTACTATAACATGCCTTTATGGTGCTGAGTTACTGCAGACTCGCCTATCCAAGAAGAGATTAAAGGCATTTTCCATCAATGTCCCCGAAGTTGCTATTGATACGAAAGCGAAGATGAAAAGATGACGATCAATCTTTATCAAGCACAACTGGGGGCTCAGTCCAGCTATACTCAATTCCCGACTCAAGAGGTCGTCGGCTGTGATCTAGCACTGCGCTTATTGAAAGCAAATAATTATTCATCCTCCGCCAAGAGTATCGCCTTGTCTTCTCCTGGTCTGATCTTGTCCTCTTCATCAGCGCTTTCATCAGCAGCAGGTTCGTCAAAATCCTTGTCTGTTTTCTGTACCGGCCGTGGGTAATATCTCTCCTAGCTGGGATTAGTAAGCTCACGATTGAACTCACGATTGAAACCACTTACCAAATGAGACGAAAATCCCGACCAAAACCCAGTCGGATCGGCCTGGAACGTCGTAACTTGCCCGGAATCTCGAATCCGAATGCCGAGGCATATATCAGCGTCGCACAGCTTACTGTATTCATAGGCCTTATGTATCAGGCTTTTCTTCCGCCGGTCTCGTTTCTGTCGCACCACTTTCTTTGGTGAATTGGGAACCTTAGGTAGCTTCTTTTCGTTGCCCTCTGACATTTTTGAAACAAAAAAAATGGACCTGAACTTGCGATCTGATTCCTTGTCTACACTTACAAAACTCCTTTTATAAGGTATCTGATATACAACTCACAGCAGCTTTTAGTATCAAGAGCGAATTGGTTCTATCGTTGGTTTATGGCTTTTGCAACGCGGTTGAAGTGTTCGAGCAATGCAACGCTTGTGTTGAACAAAGGTATTTGACCGGAGTATGACAGGATGATAGATTCGGCATAATGATGAGAAAATAAGTTGCTCTGCCCTGTGAATAGAAAGCAATGGTTGCACGAGCTGGCTTGAACATTTGAACCGTGAATAGAGAAAGAATGCAATTTTTCAACACATTGGATCGTGTTAAACCGCCTGAAACAAAAGTCTTCCCCAAACGAGTCACGTTTCGTATGTTGAGCGGGAAAGCTGTCTACTTGAATCTGTTGAATGCTCTTTGTTGTGTTCATCTTTTGCACGAGTTGTACTGTGTGATTAGCCCGAAAAGACATATTCATCCAAGGTTTTGACTTTTGATACCAGTTGAATCAGAGGGAGGCGCTGGAATGCTTGCAAATAGAGATTATACGAGATGCCGATGCATCGCATTTCGAACGAAAAGAAAGAATAAAAGGCTTGTTGCAGTGGGATATCTCCGTATCCCTCTTCGTGATGTGACTGACACACTTTACCATTTCCACTAGGTAGTCCAAGAGGATTATGGCCAAGCAGAATCGAACATCTTTGTGATTTACCACAGCTATTATCCCTGTCAATCATTCTATGTCCCTGTTACATTGTTGTATTTCTGAATTCAACTCCACCTTATTTCAGTGTTTTGTTTCAAAAGCCGGAGTGCTCAGAAACGATACTGTGTACGGCTGCAAACACAAAACGAATTTTAATAACAAGCCGTCATAAATATTGAGCGGCTGAAATGGTGTTCTCGAGGACGTACCGAGACGGGTACCTGCACTTGTAATTCAACTAAAGCTCCTGTCTCCGGGTAGAAAGGAATCTTCTCAAATGTTATTACATAATATTGGGACTTGTAGTTAAGTCAAATTAGTCCATTTACAATCAATGAAGAAGAATCGCGGCTTATTACCGGAGCGCTAGCGAGTCATCATGCCTGGTGCTTCTTTTGCCTGGTGGCTTACTCTGCTCGCAGACACCTAAGTCCACCGAAACCCACCGCCTGCGGCTCACCCGTGCCCGGTGTCACTCTCGTCTTGTGGCTCTCATCGCTGGCGGCCTGGGCTCGCCCCGTGTCCGTCTTGCCTTGTGTCTGTCTTGCCTGGTGTCTGCTTACCGGCTGTCTCCCTGGCTAGTGGTTTACTCTGCTCGCAGTCATTTAGGCATGCTGACATTTACTGCCTGCGGCTCACCCATGCGCGGTGTTACTACTGCCTGGAGGTTTACTCTGCTCGCATCCATTTAAGCCTGCTGACATTCACTGCCTGTGGCTCGCCCGTGCCCAGTGTTACCCTTGTCTGGTGGCTCTCGTTGCCCGTGTCTTAAACTCGCCTGTTGTTCTGCCTACAGCGCACCTATACCTAGAACTGCTCATGCTTAGTGTCTACTATTATAGAGTCAAACAATCAAGACACTAGGAATATGAGCCCAGAGATGCATCACGCGTAGCCGTTCAACTCAGTCGTGTGCTTACGACGATTGAAACAGCCGGCCTCTTTGGACTTGTGCAATTGGCGTTGATCCTCGATAGTTACGAGTTTGTTCACGAATAGCCACAGGTGTTGCTGTTGTACGGGCAGGGGAAATTCGAGCAGATACAGCTAAAAGATTCGGAGTGGCCGGACACCAACACACAAGCCAATGATGATTTTATCCACTGAAGCGTCCAGTGCTGTAGCTGCCATCATTACGGCTAGCGAGCATAGGCTATTTGGGGTTCATCCGAGCGGTAGAGATTGATTTGAAGGTGAAAACCGGCGCCCGTTTTCCATCATTACTTCTTAATATAATCGCTTGGAGGGGTTTTGAGTATATCTCAAATGAGGGCTTCAAAGGCTCCATTGGAGATTCTCCGAGAATAAAGAGGCTAGACGGGATTACGATAATTCGACTGTCATAATTTGCGTGCCTGCTGTGCAGTATCCTGGGAGTTTGGGTACCTGGGCCTTCGAGAGATTGAGGAATAGCGTTTTCTGACTTGGCGTGGTCTGGGCCTGGAAATACGCATATTCTTTGCTTTTCGGCCAGTCAAGCTCTAGTTCTGTGGAACCGTGTTCAGGCGCGCTCCGAGTCTAGAGATGGACGTCCGCGGTCGGGAGGCTGTGGTGGGAAGGCTCTGGCTTTAGGCCCCGTGATCCAAATCAATTGATCGGAAGCTACGTTCTGGAGGCTGCGGACGTGGATCCACTTTGGATTTATGTCCACAGCTTTGAATCTGCCATCGCCTTCAATCTGTTAATTGGCGGCCTGTAAGGCTAAGTAACCATGAGGGCCATAGCTCTGCTGACCACAGTCTATGAGAATTTTGTTCTGACTTTTTCTGACTAACCAATATCTATTGTTGATCTCAACCTGTATCCGGCTATATATGAGCGACACGTTGTAGGAAAGATTGAAAGTTTTCCTGTCTGATGCCAAAAGATTGAGGCCTCAAAAAGTCATTCCTTGATATATGGCCAAAGCAACATAAAATTGATGGACGACAGACTAGTTCGGAGCGCGACCGGGTGGAATCGGAATTGTCGGACACGAGCTAACGATGGCGCCACTGAAACAGTCCTCTCAGCGCACTACTGAATCTTCGAATTCAGCCTGCAAAGGGTGCTGTTGCACATAGGTAGCAGGAAACAGGCAGAGGCAAGTTATGATCAATGATGCTGCTTTCAACATTGACTGTCGATGATTTCATGGCTTCCAGTTAGTTACGATCAAATCCAAACCGTTGTTGCCGTCTCCCAGGTAAGCTGCCCGTGCTTGTAAAATATTATTGCATCAACCCCATTGGATTACTGCGACTCGCCCAGACGGCCACAACCTGTTACAGGAGATGCTCACAATTTTTCCCAACTATTCTTATTAATCCATTAATTATGTGACTGGTCATCCACCTGAAATTGTCGATGAATAACACAATGAGAAACGAACTAGAAAAACATGTCATTATATCTATTTCCAGAATATGAATGCTCGACTGAATGGCATTATTAACATTAAAACTAAAGTCATGGAACTTCGGCGAAGACCATGGACGTTCCGCTTCTTTGGACTCATAGTTCTGATTCCTGCGACCTTGTATTCCTCATCGCGGTGCCAGATAGTAATAATGCTTGTTAGACTCGGTATTTAGAGGCGAGTTCTTCCCAAGTCACTTGTTTCGGCTTGGGGTAGTAACTTGCCTGCAGCTTGTTAGTCTCTATCTTGGCTAGAGATAGTTGAAGACACAAACTAATTGCTCTTTGGATGGCTGCCACTGGCTATCAGAATTGAAGATATAGATTTGGCCCGTATCTTTCAGTCGAATTAGAAGAGAGATGTCCGCATCACATTCATGACAGTATTCGAATGCACCAAACATCAATCGGAGTCTTCGCCGTAGCCGTTGCTGACGCTTCGATCTGGGGTTATCCGAATGTCGCCCACGGATTGTTCTGACATTCGCCATTTTTTTTGGGTCCAACAACCAAGCATGGAAGGAAAATTTGACCACCACGATTTTAATTCAAGAAGGTATCTTAATCCACAGGATCATTAAGTTCTTTATATTTGTTCTTAGCTCACCCGGTCACCCTGCTTACAAGTGAGTCAATAGCTACATGGGCATATGAAGCATGGAGAGGCAAATAAGGAAGTCTCCTACTAAAATTGATGGATACGGGTGTTTCATCTCCGGCTGGTGATTGAGGGTGAATAAGGCAATTGAGGGTGATCGCGGGTGAGCGTAAAATTGAAGTTAGCCCCTACCTCAGTCTGCCCCTACTCTCCTGTCTGACCCTACTCGCCAGTCTGCCCCTACTCTCCAACCTGTTCCTGCTCTCCAGTCTGTCCCTATTCTCCAGTCCGCCCCTACTCTCCAGTCTGTCCCAGCTCTTCGGTCTGTTTCTACTCGTCAGTCTGCTTCTACTCTTCGGTCTGCTTCTACTCTTCGGTCTGCGCCTACTCTTTGGTCTGCGCCTACTCTTCGGTCTGCGCCTACTCTCCAGTCTGCTCCTACTCTTCGGTCTGCGCCTACTCTTTGGTCTGCGCCTACTCTTTGGTTTGCGCCTATTCTTTGGTTTGCGCCTACTCTCCGATCTGTCCCTACTCTTTGGTCTGCGCCTACTGTCCAGTCTGTCCCTACTGTCCAGTCTGTCCCTACTGTCCAGTCTGTCCCTACTGTCCAGTCTGTCCCAACTCTCCAGTCTGTCCCAACTCTCCAGTCTGTCCCAACTCTCCAGTCTGCGCCTACTCTCCAGTCTGCGCCTACTCTCCAGTCTGCGCCTACTCTCCAGTCTGCGCCTACTCTCCAGTCTGCGCCTACTCTCCAGTCTGTCCCTACTCTCCAGTCTGTCCCAACTCTCCGGTCTGTCCCTACTCTTTGGTCTGCGCCTACTCCTTAGTTTGCGCCTACTCTCCAGTCTGTTTCTACTCTCCAGTCTGTCCCTACTCTCCAGTCTGTCCCTACTGTCCAGCCTGTCCCAACTCTCCAGTCTGTCCCAACTCTCCAGTCTGTCCCAACTCTCCAGTCTGTCCCAACTCTCCAGTCTGTCCC